TTCGGGGGGGGGGGACTCAATCACAGTTCTAATTGAAGGAAAGATTCCACAGGTTAGATAACTGAGTAGGGAAACCGCTAATCCAATACGACTACGAAGCACTTGGAAGAGGTTTGAGGACGAGGAGCTGGGATAGGTCGGAGGGATGGAATGGTGCCCAACCACTAATTTTAACATTAATGAATGCCAATGTTCGATCCCCGACCGTCGCTGTACCGACTAGTCCAAGTGCTTGAACGTAATACCAAAACCCCAACAAAACCACTAGAAACCTTTTAAAACGATATCCACATCTATATTTCAATCCAATTGCAATATAATGCACATTACTAACTCAACTCACTTTAGACGTTCACTATTCGCACCGAACCAAACACCACTTCTAATTCACATACAACTAATATAAAAACTTACAAAGCCAAATACCAGCTTAAATACCCTTGAAAGCTATTATAGCCATCCGAAGATTTAATGTCAGCCTCAAAGTCATCTAACTTTTATCCACTTATCAGAAACGCGTACTTCAAGACCTCCAATATATTCCCCCAACAGTTTACAGCTTGAGGGAATATGCTTAACATTACCTCTCTTTCCAAAATAGTCTCAGCAGAACATAAGAATTAAGAAAGCTAAGGAAGGCCTATTGGCTCATACGAGGCAGCTTCCTGTTGTGTCCTCACAAACTCTTTCTTACATATGTCTAGTCAATGTCTGAAGCAATCAAGTGAACGTTTGTTATGTTATCTAGTAATCTATTCCATAAAACAACAATCTTGTTTGTAAACAATACAATTAGATTGTTCTGTTTTATCCAGATTGTAAATATTTACCCCAGGTATTTTCTAAATCTAAAATTACCCAATTTATACATTTCCTCGGGTCCTATTTCACTACAACACCTCTGGTTCCGATTTGCTTTCTTTCGCCATCAACCTCTGATTCTATCTATATATTTCTCACCGTGTCCTCTGCTTCAGACTTGGGAGTGACCAGATTCACGAAGCAGTTACGCAGGCACTTACGAACCTGTACATCTTTTCTCAATCTTCGGCGGCTTTATTTACAATTATTAAACAGTTATGAGCACCAGGAAGCTGTTTATAACAGCAACAGTTGATTGGGAAGTTTTCATGCTTGTAAACTGTTCAATAAATGTAACCAAAGCCATCAAAGATTGAGGAAAGATTTACACGTTCTTAAGTACTTGCGTATCTGCTTCGTGAAGCAGATACGAAGTTGAAAGTTTCGCTTCAACTCCTGCCATGAGCACGTTACCATTCGTTCACTAAAGAGGTCGTCAGAGAAGTAATGAAGAGTAGAGCAGCTCTCATTTTCTACATTGATTTGTCACTATTAACACCACCAAGGGCTGCGTAGCGAAGTACTCTGCTCGAGAGGTGAGCATTGTGTTGCAAAGGAGGCGGATGCCGCAGTTATAGGAGGCGGATGCCGCAGTTATAGGAGGCGGATGCCGCAGTTATAGGAGGCGGATGCCGCAGTTATAGGAGGCGGATGACGCAATTAATCTCTCTAATTGTATTGTTTTATCTATAGCTTAAACATTTAATGGAATTATATGAAATGAATAAAAAAAAAATTAATCAGTAATTGTAAGTAATTATTATAAGTATATTATTATACGTTTATACTATTGTATTGGGAAACACAGCACACACTGAAGAAACACACACACACACACACACACACACATACACACACACACACACACACACACACACACACACACACACACACACACACACACACACACACACACGCACACGCACACGCACACGCACACGCACACGCACACGCACACACACACACACACACACACACACACACACACACACACACACACACACACACATTTCAAGAAGAAGCCTAGTCTAGGTCTTCAAGAAGACTTAGACAAGCTGAAGGAATGGTTGAACAAATGGTTGTTAGAGTTTAACCCAAGCAAATGTAATGTAATGAAGATAGGTGTAGGGAGCAGGAGGCCAAATAAAAGGTATCATCTTGGAGATGAAGTTCTTCAAGAGTCAGAGAAAGAAAAAGACTTGGGGGTTGATATCACGCCAGACCTGTCTCCTGCAGCACATATCAAGAGGATAACATCAGCGCCATAGGCCAGGCTGGCCAACATAAGAACGGCATTCAGAAACTTGTGCAAAGAATCATTCAGAACTTTGTATACCACATATGTCAGGCCAATCCTGGAGTATGCAGCCCCAGCATGGATTCCATATCTAGTCAAGGATAAGACTAAACTGGAAAAGGTTTAAAGGTTTGCCACCAGACAAGTACCCGAGCTGAGAGGTATGAGCTACGAGGAGAGACTACGGGAATTAAGCCTCACTTCGCTGGAAGACAGAAGAGTTAGGGGGACATGATCACCACATTCAAGATTCTCAAGGGAATTGATAGGATAGATAAAGACAGGCTATTTAACACAAGGGGCACACGCACTAGGGGACACACGTGGAAACTGAGTGCCCAAATGAGCCACAGAGATATTAGAAAGAATTTTTTAGTGTCAGAGTGGTTGACAAATGGAATGCATTAGGAAGTAATGTGGTGGAGGCTGACTCCAATACACAGTTTCAAGTGTATATATGATAGAGCCCAATAGGCTCAGGAACCTGTACACCTGTTGATTGACGGTTGAGAGGCGGGACCAAAGAGCTCAACTCCCGCAAACACAATTAGGTGAGTACACAGGGGCGTTGGTGGGTGTGTGGATAGCATGCGGGACACGTAATCCTGTGGCCCGGGTTCGATTCCCAAGGCCGGCGTGAAACAAAATGGGCAGAGTTTCTTTCACCCTGATGCCCCTGTTACCTAGTAGAAATAGGTACCTGGGAGTTAGACAGCGGTTATGGGCTGTTTCCTAGGATGTGTGTGTGTGCGTGTGTGTAGAAACAAAAATAGTAGTTAGTAAGAGTTGATTGACAGTTGAGAGGCTGACTGAAAGAGCAGACCTCAACCCCCGCAAGCACAAATAGGCACACAGACACACACACACACACACACACACACACACACACACACACACACAGACACACACACACACACACACACACACACACACACACACACACACACACACACACACACACACACACACACACACACACACACACACACACACACACACACACACACACACACACACACACACACACACACACACACACACACACACACACAACAAATGGCTGTTGAAGTTCAACCCGAGTAAATGCAAAGTAATGAAACTAGGCAGTGGAAACAGGAGGCCAGGCACAGGATACAGAATAGGAGATGAAGTACTTAATGAAACAGACAGAGAGAAAGATCTAGGAGTTGATATCACACCAAACCTGTCTCCTGAAGCCCACATAAAGAGAATAACGTCTGCGGCATATGCGAGGCTGGCTAACATCAGAACGGCGTTCAGGAACCTGTGTAAGGAATCATTCAGAATCTTGTACACCACATATGTAAGACCAATCCTGGAGTATGCGGCCCCAGCATGGAGCCCGTACCTTGTCAAGCACAAGACGAAGCTGGAAAAAGTCCAAAGGTATGCTACTAGACTAGTCCCAGAACTAAGAGGCATGAGTTATGAGGAAAGGCTGCGGGAAATGCACCTTACGACACTGGAAGACAGAAGAGTAAGGGGGGACATGATCACAACCTACAAAATCCTCAGGGGAATCGACCGGGTAAACAAGGATGAACTATTCAACACTGGTGGGACGCGAACAAGGGGACACAGGTGGAAGCTGAGTACCCAAATGAGCCACAGAGACGTTAGAAAGAACTTTTTCAGTGTCAGAGTAGTTAGTAAATGGAATGCATTAGGAAGTGATGTGGTGGAGGCTGACTCCATACACAGTTTCAAATGTAGATATGATAGAGCCCAATAGGCTCAGGAATCTGTACACCAGTTGATTGACGGTTGAGAGGCGGGACCAAAGAGCCAGAGCTCAACCCCCGCAAGCACAATTATGTGAGTACAATTAGGTGAGTACACAGAGGGTGACTCTCAACAGGTAGGTTAGATGTGACCTATAAATAACTGCTCTGCATTATTTAGGATTATCTCCCATAAGGGGTGTTACTTGTGCTTTTAAGGCTTGCCGGACACCTGCTTCAAGTCGACACGTAATCAAACCGAGTGATGGTACTTAACATTGGTCGTCTAAGTGTTTATTGTAAGTCTGCTGGTGTCTCAGATTATTGACAAACATGAACTCAAACAATAACAATTGTCATCTACTCTCCCGTGGAACTAAACGCAACATTTACCTATTGTACAACTTTCCTTATTAAGTCTACTCTATAACTCGGTCGATAGAGCTTCGGCCTCAGACATGTGGGTTCAAGGTTCGAGTCTCCTAGAGCCCAGGTGAATGGAATGAACTCAAACCATTGTTCAATACTAAATTGGGGCAATTAAATACAATATTAGCCTAGTCAACTCTACAATCACCTCACCTCTCAGACCAACAGCGACTAGTCTCAAAGCTGTGGTTAGTGAAACAATCAATTCCAGGATATTCCGAATAACTCAAATAAGACTTACAATTATGTGTACCAGGTTGGTTGAAGCTCTTAAAATCAGTTAATATAATTAAAAGTATTACAAAACACTTGTGTTTTTCTTGAATAAATCCTGACAAAAGGAGCCAAAAAAATGTAATGGCCTACACTGGGGAATGCCAACAGCACACAGCCTCTGCCCCCACGCACACTATCACCCATTAAACAGGAATTTCTACCTCTCAGAGGCCCTGGCGGCCCAGCGTGATTACGGACTAGCGAGGCATATCAAAATGTAATCTAAAATACAGAGGGAGGGACATATGCTGAAAATCGATAGGCAGCATTTGAGGGAGTAATGTGCTGCATGAGAAATAGGTAGTATAAATAGAAAATCTGACGCAGCAAATTAATGGTTGATAAAGGAAAGGTTATAATGTATTGACATATGCTCTAAATTGCTCTAAATCTAGAATTGCTCTAAATATCTCGTGTGAAAGTTTAGACTCACGAGTCAGTGGAAGACGTCAAAGGAGACGCAAGAGCCAGTGGAAGACGTCAAAGGAGACGCAAGAGCCAGTGGAAGACGTCAAAGGAGATGCAAGAGCCAGTGGAAGACGTCAAAGGAGACGCAAGAGCCAGTGGAAGACGTCAAGGGAGACGGAAGAGCCAGTGGAAGACGTCAAAAGAGATGCAAGAGCTAGTGGAAGACGTCAAAGGAGACGCAAGAGCCAGTGGAAGACTTCAAAGGAGACGCAAGAGCCAGTGGAAGACTTCAAAGGAGATGCAAGAGACAGTGGAAGACTTCAAAGGAGACGCAAGAACAGCCACTTTACGGAAACCTTCTTCCCTCTTTTCTTCCTTCCTCTTAAAATACCAAAAAAAAAAAAAATACTCCTCACGATCAAGATACGAGACGTGCTATAAAATAGGGTCGGCTGGGGTGGGGGCTCGGGGTTAGAGGAAAGGCATTCCCTAAACTCTGGGAAGCAATCAACTTACCGTTGCTGGTAATTGAATTCCGTATTTCATTTCCTCTACGCGAGGAACTAGGGAGAAAGTACAGCCCGAGGGATTTTAATTAAGTTGTGGAGAGGGGGAAATCTTATCTTAGGGAGAGATACCAGTGCTATGTTACGTTCCTGTCTTCCCAGCTTTCTAGGTGACCTGTCATGCTTGTGGGACAGAGGGAGACAGAGACAGACAGACAGAGAGCTATTGTAGCCACGTGTACGATTATCTAAACATCGTACATACATAGGAATAAGCCTAAACATAGAATCAAACGAACGAACAATCAACCTGCAACAGAAACTGACACGACGCTGAGTTACAAACAGACAAGAAATACACACAGATAAACAGACAAAAATATGGCGACTTCTGAGAGAAAATGGGTTATAACATTTTAAGTGATAAAGACTGAATAATAACGCAAAGAGAAAGAAGCACATACACACAAACGAGAATAATTAATGAGAAGGACAATGGAGAAGTAAAAGGGCTGGTAAGTGGCAGTGTCCAAGGAGAAGGAGAAAGAGAGGGGGGAAAGGACGGTAAAAAAAGACACGTTGTTTCCACAATTGTTTAATAGTGTAAATGCATGAATGGGGAATATAACTGAATATGCACGACAGCTAACACAATCTACTATCCATCTGCTAAAATAAGAAGCTAGATCCATGCCACTTTGTAACGAAACAAGCAAAGCCGTGAACACACACACACACATTGACGGTTGAGAGGCGGGACTAAACAGCCAAAGCCCAACCCCCGCAAGCACAAATAGGTGAGTACACACACACACACACACACACACACACACGAGTGTGTGTTACACACGCGCACGCGCGTGTATAACTTCCCATTGTCCCATGTCAGCCATTAGGCAGTTTAAGAACTAGGGGGCCCTACTCGACCCTCGGACCACACAAACCACTGGAGCATGGTGTGTGTGGCGTCAATATCTAAACCATAAATGACTGTAGTCTCTAGATTAGTCCCTGACACCAGGCAATAATCATTCATGATAGTTTTGACAGCTTTTCTATTATTTTCCACCTGAACACTAAGAGCCGAGGAGGTAAGAATGGCTAGGAAGGAGGGAGGAGGTAGTGAGGGTGATAATAGCTTAGCTTTGGTCAAGTACTGGAATTAGGCCAATTCATCGGTCGTAATAATAATGATTGGAGGTTGGGGGCTTTTGGGCTGGGTGGAGCATGGGGGATACTGTGATGCATGGGGGTTACGGAGGTTGTATGGCTGAGTGTGTGGGGTGTGGGGATGGTTTGTGAACGGGGGGGGGGGGCTGTTTTTGTTAGAGATGGGCGAGTTATAGGGAAGGGAGGATTAAAGGGAGGGGAGGATTATAGAGAGGGGGGTTATAGGGATGGGTGAGTAATAAGCTACTATATGGACCTTCAAGAGTAGCAGGACCTTTAGCTGTTCTCATAAAAATAATATTAGTTTACGCTAGTAGTAGGCATCCATCAGTCTCAGGAGACTATGGCAGTTGCGCTCTGGTTGTCGGTCTGGAATGGTCTCTCCAGGGGGCAAAGCCAGGGTCGGTTGATACGGAGGAGAAGCTGTCACCCATGCAGCAGGTCCCCCCCTCTCCACGGCGCCGAAAGTCTCCAATGGAAAGGCAAACGCCAATACGTTTGATTCCAGCGCCGTTGCAGGAACTGTCTGAACGATGTTGAAGGCAACAACGAACTGCCCATAGGGGCTCCAGCTCCGGAGTTGACCTCGATGTTAGTAAATGAAGGCACAGGGACACCAAACCTCGAGACCGCCGTGGTCGGGGCCGGTGAAGAACCACCCCATCAAGGGCATGAACGACCCCAGCTTCCTGAAGCAGAGCCTGGGCCGCACGAGCCCCAGGAGGTGGACATCCCGGTCCCGGACCTACGGGCTGCAGACAGAGATCGACACAGCCCTCATTCACCCGAGGCCGGCCTCCTTCAAGACCAAGCAGAAGGAAGAGGAATAATTATTAATTAACCCAATACTCTGACCAAAAAAGACATTTCTTAACATTAATTGCATTATCCAACACTTTTCAGACAGATGAGAGAGACTCTTTTGCATATCTTGCAGTATCTTGCTAAACACATAAGGGGTCAAGAGAAAAGAAACCCCCGGCAAATTCCCAGAGGAAGAAGGCAGTAATTACAAAATGTAAAGCTGAACATTCCACAGCTCTCACACACATAATGCTTTCTTGCTTGCCTCCCTCCCCCTCTCATCTTCCCTATAATGCTTTTCCCTCTTCTCACATGCCTCTATCTTCCCCTCCCCCCCCCTCCTCCGGTACGGCACTCTCCTCCCCCCGGAATAAAATCGATAACATTGCTTCTCTTGGAGTCTGGGATGTGTTGCCCCTAGAGACTCATGGGAGAGAGCATGGGTCTTGGCAGGAGATCGGAATTAAGGTAACGTGTATCTCCTTGCTGTAGGTCGAAGTTTACGGCAAATCTCTGGAGTGCCGGTGAAGTCGCCAGAATTCTTATGGCGAGTGCACTAAGAGGAGCTCTAAAGTGTGAGGGCGCCTCAGTGAGCTCCTTAAAGGTGAGTGCCGCTCCCTCCCCCACCCCCCCCCCCCACCCCAAGGAGCAAGTGTGATGATCCACATGGGCGGTCCACATGGCCGATACGGTTTCAGGAACTATTCACGTAAAGAGATTTGTATAAGGCAAGAGAGCACAACTTCACCTCATGCGAGGTGACATACTCTGGCAAGATCTGTGGTCCGTGTGAGGATATTATTAAATGAGAGGTCGCGAAGCACAGCACATGTTCTTCTTGTGGCTATATATTTGTGAGCACGTATACCCACCAACCATGACCCCCCCCCCCACACTCCCACACCCTCCCCTCCCCACACAAACACGTAAACAATTAATTTTAGCTGTGGTTATGTACACACTTTGAATGTCTGGCTTCCATGCAATTAATGATCAAGGCGTTCGAGTTTCAGGTTAATCTGTGTCAAGACTACCTTCAAGTGGACTCATGAGCGCTGTTAATCACAGGAGGTGCCCTTAGAGGAAGACGGCGTGGCTATTGACCATTACCATTGACCCACTTTAAGCCATTACACTTCGGTGATTAAGTAGGATTTCATCATTTACTGCTCCGTACGACAGTCTTTTTTCATTTGGGATGGTGTTAAAAACTTTCAGCAATTCCCAGTTGGCTTCGTTCACGTCCTGTAATCCGGATATCCCTGGTGAGATACCTGTTGGTACAGAAATGGTTGGGCACGTTTCCTTTCATGTAATGCCTCTGTTCTCCCAGCAGGAACTAGATTCCAAGGAGGTAAGCTGCTGTTGTGTGGTTTTATGCTGGGTAGGGTCAGCAGGGAGAGCCTTGGGTAAGACCTCGAGACATATTATATATATACACACTAGCACTACCCGGCCACGCGTTGCTGTGGCTCGCGTTGATATATATATATACTGCGTTCTGGCTACTAGGTACGACATATATATATATATATATATATATATATATATATATATATATATATATATATATATATATATATATATATATATATATATATATATATATGTCGTACCTAGTAGCCAGAACTCACTTCTCAGCCTACTATGCAAGGCCCGATTTGCCTAATAAGCCAAGTTTTCATGAATTAATGTTTTTTTCGTCTACCTAACCTACCTAACCTAACCTAACCTAGCTTTTTTTGGCTACCTAACCTAACCTTACCTATATATATAGGTTAGGTTAGGTTAGGTAGGGTTGGTTAGGTTCGGTCATATATCTACGTTAATTTTAACTCCAATAAAAAAAAATTGACCTCATACATAGTGAAAAGGGTAGCTTTATCATTTCATAAGAAAAAAATTATAGTAAATATATTAATTCAGGAAAACTTGGCTTATTAGGCAAATCGGGCCTTGAATAGTAGGCTGAGAAGTGAGTTCTGGCTACTAGGTACGACATATATATATATATATATATATATATATATATATATATATATATATATATATATATATATATATATATATATATATATATATATATATATATATATATATATATATATATATATATATATATATATATATATATATATATATATATATATATATATATATATATATATATATATATATATAAATATATACATACATATGACCTTATAGTTTAAACACGAAAATCAGAATAAATATATATATGAAATTTTATTCGTGAAGGCTTAAGCATTTGAAAAATATTTTAAATAAAATATAGTTGTAATCAGTCAGCGCAACACATATTTGTCGAAACACAGGTTATTAATTAACATTTTTCTGAGAATTTTCTTAATTTTAATTGAAACGAGGAAAATATTGAATGTGTGAGAAGCGCGGGAGGAACTGGGCTTCTCCCTCAGTATTCACAACCACGATAATATCCGACCGGCAGCGCCTCCTTCAGAGCAATACTTTGTGTGGTATTGTTGCATTTCTGAAGATGAGGAGACAGTTGTCACTATATTACTTTATGATACAGTTCCCTCACCGTCACTCTTGTCTCATTTCTCAACCCGTTCTCGCAAATTCGTAAAGTCAATATTGACTTATTAACTACGTGCATAGGTGATATACTAAACATAATAGATACCCTTAAAAAGATTCATAGAAAACACCGACCTTACCTAACCTTGTTAGTATCTTAAGATAAGCATCTTATTGCTTCATAATTACAATTATTACTTAACCTATACCTATTATAGGTTAGGTAATAATTGTAATTACGAAGCAATAAGATGCTTATCTTAAGATACTAACAAGGTTAGGTAAGGTCGGTGTTTTCTATGAATCTTTTTAAGGGTATCTATTATGTTAAGTATGTCACCTATGCACATATTTAATAAGTCAATATTGACTTATTAAATTTGCGAGAACGGGTTGCATTTCTGCCTCTCCGCCCGACCTTACCTCATCGTTATCTCACTCATCACACACACACACACACACCCCTCATCGCTTTTAACCCTTGCCTTAACTGCCCTTATCCCACACACCCCTCACCCTTACCCCCTCTCCCCCCCCTCACTATCTTAAACCCCCCCCTCACAGTTTTTTCACCCCTCAGCCTGCCCCCCCCCCTCCACCACCCCACCAAACACACAGCTTGCAGGAATGCAAAAAAATATCAACCCATCCAGGGAAAATATAGCGAGTATGAGAGAAGGGGCAAGAAAGTAGTTGATGGCTCTAGTAGGGGGCCTGACGGCTGAGTAGACAGCGCTCGGGATTCGTAGCTCTAAGTTCCTAGTTCGATCCCTGGTGGAGGGGGAAACAAATGGGCAGAGTTTGTTTCACCCCGATGCCTCTGTTCACATAGCAGTAAAAAGGTACCTAGGAGTTAGAGAGCTGCTACGGGCTGTTTCCTTGGGATTTGTAACAAAAAAAGGTCTGGTTGAGGACCGGGCCGCGGGGACGCTAAGCCCCGAATGCATCTCAAGATGACCTCAAGATATTCAAGCACACGTTCGTAATTCCATCCAACCTTCATGGTATCTACGACGTCGCGGTCATTAACATCCGTTTCAAACCCACACTCTCCCAAGGCAACGGTTCCTCCCTGATCGTCTCTCTCCTCTCTTTCTCCTTTATTGCATCTGGGCAAATTGTGCCATTTCTTTGGCCGTGCCGAGACGTCTTCCCAAATTGCAGATAGAGTTGGTTAAAGTCTAGTCCCTGGAACCGCTGAATAAAGAGAAGATGAGACACCAAATGGCAGTTGCTGAAGTCTGTAGTGAACGAGACCTCAATTATTTCATGTCCGGCTCGTGTTTTTTTTTTTTTTTTTACGTCTTATTGCAAAGAATTCTTGGTTTTTCATAATCAAAATTATACAATAAATTATTATTAATCTAAACAAATAATGAAGGTCAACATGATCAAGATTACAAACAAAACTCAGTGATCAAGATCTCAATAAGAAGTTGGTAAACAATCAGAGTTAACTGCCTAATATAACTCATGAAACAAAGCCAAAAAATAACATTCGTAACAGTTATTTAATGTTCGTTGACAGTAGGTGTTAACTGTCGGATTGCTTCTGCCTCCAAAGTATGGAAAATGGTTCTTATACCCCATCAGACTTTAATTAACGTTGTCCTTTTTCCGAGGACCGCTGAGGGAGGAGGTCCTGGAGCTACACCTCCAGCTGGCCCGTTGTTCCAGAGCATCACAGCTGTAGGTAATGTTGCGGCAGCCTTTGATGACCCGTCAAGGCGTCTTCCTTGAGCTGTCTGAGTCAGAGGTCAGAGGAAAGCTTGAGTGGGGAGTGAAGGGGAAAGGAACTATGAGGAGAAGGCACAAAATCATCAGGACTATATAGCGCTGGGAAGGGATCAGGGATAAGGATTTGAGATGGAACGTGAGGTAAGGAATGGTGCCCAACCTCTTGGACAGTCGGGGATTGAACGCTGACCTCGCATGAAGCGAGACCGTCGCTTTACCGCCCAGCCCAAGTGATTGGGTAGTATGCGAAGGAACAATTGACATTTTCCTTACTTTGGAGGCATATAAGCAACCGGAAAAAAATAACACTTACTGCCCAGGAACACAAATTGTGTTACATCAATCCTAACACAAATTGAACCAAGTCTATCCTAACAACTTTAACGGAAACAAGGAAGCAAGGAAGCAACGTATTTAATCTAATTTACCCCCACACATTAACCTAACCTAACCAATCCTAACACATCATAACCAACAGCTGCGCCTTTAACTCTCACTTGAACGGAAACAATGTTGGAGGAGAATATATCAGTTACAATACCTTGTGCCATTCAGCACTCACTGAAAACAACATCAAAGATAATATCCACTAGCACATAAATCTTTTGGTATTATTCTCAAATTTAAACCATTAGGAACTGAACAAGATAGCATAAATTTAAAGATAAAATGAAAATGTATTCCCGAGAGACTTTTCTAATGAGGAAGATTTAAGAGGTTTTTAAATCGTCTTTCAAACTGGGCCATTCGTGTCACTTTTAAGATAATTTATACCATAGAATGTGATAAATTAAGGAAAATATGAAGTATTGTCACGGTAAAATGTTCTTTCTTGTCCTCATTCTTTGACAAAATCTATCGTTAAAAAGTTTTATATTTTCTCAAAATCGGCGCAAAGCCCATTGAATCCCGTGAACGATAACAGCAGTAATTTCGCAGAACATTTTTTGGTTGTGAGCAACAGACTCACACAACCAGCAGACTCACAAGACCAGCAGACTCACAAGACCAGCAGACTCACACAACCAGCAGACTCACAAGACCAGCAGACTCACAGGACCAGCAGACTCACAAGACCAGCAGACTCACAAGACCAGCAGACTCACAAGACCAGCAGACTCACAAGACCAGCAGACTCACAGGACCAGCAGACTCACAAGACCAGCAGACTCACAAGACCAGCAGACTCACACAACCAGCAGACTCACAAGACCAGCAGACTCACAAGACCAGCAGACTCAGACTCACAGACCAGCAGACTCACAAGACCAGCAGACTCACAGACTCACAAGACCAGCAGACTCACAGCAGACCAGCAGACTCACAAGACCAGCAGACTCACAAGACCAGCAGACTCACAGACCAGCAGACCAGCAGACTCACAAGACCAGCAAGACCAGCAGACTCACAAGACCAGCAGACTCACCAGCAGACCAGCAGACTCACAAGACCAGCAGACTCACAAGACCAGCAGACTCACACGACCAGCAGACTCATAAGACCAGCAGACTCACAAGACCAGCAGACTCACACGACCAGCAGACTCACAAGACCAGCAGACTCACAAGACCAGCAGACTCACACGACCAGCAGACTCACAAGACTCAGACTCACAAGACCAGCAGACTCACAAGACCAGCAGACTCACAAGACCAGCAGACTCACAAGACCAGCAGACTCACAAGACCAGCAGACTCACAAGACCAGCAGACTCACAAGACCAGCACTCACACGACCAGCAGACTCACAAGACCAGCAGACTCACAAGACCAGCAGACTCACAAGACCAGCAGACTCACAAGACCAGCAGACTCACAAGACCAGCAGACTCACAAGACCAGCAGACTCACAAGACCAGCAGACTCACAAGACCAGCAGACTCACAAGACCAGCAGACTCACAAGACCAGCAGACTCACAAGACCAGCAGACTCACAAGACCAGCAGACTCACAAGACCAGCAGACTCACAAGACCAGCAGACTCACAAGACCAGCAGACTCCCAAGACCAGCAGACTCACAAGACCAGCAGACTCACAAGACCAGCAGACTCACAAGACCAGCAGACTCACAAGACTAGCAGACTCACAAGACCAACAGACTCACAAGACCAGCAGACTCACCACCTGGCCAATGGTAGCTCCCGTCACCAACCACCTGGCCAATGGTAGCTCCCGTCACCAACCACCTGGCCAATGGTAGCTCCCGTCACCAACCACCTGGCCAATGGTAGCTCCCGTCACCAACCACCTGGCCAATGGTAGCTCCCGTCACCAACCACCTGGCCAATGGTAGCTCCCGTCACCAACCACCTGGCCAATGGTAGCTCCCGTCACCAACCACCTGACCAATGGTAGCTCCCGTCACCAACCACCTGACCAATGGTAGCTCCCGTCACCAACCACCTGACCAATGGTAGCTCCCGTCACCAACCACCTGACCAATGGTAGCTCCCGTCACCAACCACCTGACCAATGGTAGCTCCCGTCACCAACCACCTGACCAATGGTAGCTCCCGTCACCAACCACCTGACCAATGGTAGCTCCCGTCACCAACCACCTGACCAATGGTAGCTCCCGTCACCAACCACCTGACCAATGGTAGCTCCCGTCACCAACCACCTGGCCAATGTGCTCTAAGACTAAAGCCACCTAATCATGGTGTTCACTGAAAAAATTTACCGCTACGTACAGATTGCTTGGAATATTTAGCAATTAAAAGCTTGCAATGTCCATTCGTGCAATGTTTGAAGATCACATAATTTTTTTCATTTATTTTTGTCTCCGCCAAATGCCTCTGTGGATACGAAGGGGGGATACGGTGACCCAAATACCTGGTATCATCTGCACTATGATCAATAGTGACTGGTATTGCTTGTGTTTGGCTGTGTATGACTGGGAATGTGAATGTATATCGCTGGGAATGTGAATGTATATCGCTGGGAATGTGAATGTATATCGCTGGGAATGTGAATGTATATCGCTGGGAATGTGAATGTATATAGCTGGGAATGTGAATGTATATCGCTGGGAATGTGAATGTATATCGCTGGGAATGTGAATGTATATCGCTGGGAATGTGTATGTATATCACTGGGAATGTGTATGTATATAGCTGGGAATGTGAATGTATATCGCTGGGAATGTGAATGAATATCGCTGGGAATGTGTATGTATATAGCTGGGAATGTGAATGTATATCGCTGGGAATGTGAATGTATATCGCTGGGAATGTGAATGTATATCGCTGGGAATGTGAATGTATATCGCTGGGAATGTGAATGTATATCGCTGGGAATGTGTATGTATATCGCTGGGAATGTGAATGTATATCGCTGGGAATATGAATGTATATCGCTGGGAATGTGAATGTATATCGCTGGGAATGTGTATGTATATAGCTGGGAATGTGAATGTATATCGCTAAAAATGTGTATGTATATCGCTGGGAATGTGAATGTATATCGCTGGGAATGTGAATGTATATCGCTGGGAATGTGTATGTATATCGCTGGGAATGTGAATGTATATCGCTGGGAATATGAATGTATATCGCTGGGAATGTGTATGTATAGAGCTGGGAATAATAATGTATATCGCTGGGAATATGAATGTATATCGCTGGGAATGTGAATGTATATCGCTGGGAATGTGTATGTATAGAGCTGGGAATAATAATTATATATTACCAGTCAACCTCTCGTAAATGCCTTAAAAATTACATGAAAGATTTTAAGTGGTTCCATAATGCAAAGTAATTGATGAAACACGACACTCTGCCAAACGACAGATTCCAGAATCGTTATAGGCGGACCATTCATCTGAATTGTGTGGATCTCGAACCCCGGACACCATGCGGGTGAAGCCGTTCAAACGTTTATGTTAGGTCTTTTTAGATGGAGGTCCACGGTCGACCCGGTACTCATGTCCACCTGGTGGTCGTAGGGACCCGGTACCCATGTCCAACTGGTGGTCACAGAGACCCGGTACCCATATGCACCTCGTGGTCGTGGGGACCCGGTACCCATATGCACCTGGTGGTCGTGGGGACCCGGTACTCACCCCAGTACCCATGTGCTTGCGTGGGGGGTTGAGCTAGGGGCCCGGTATCCATGCCCCCTGGTGGTTGGCTCTGGTGGTTCGGTCCCATGCCCACCCTCTCAACCTGGTGGTACAGAGAATCATGCCCACCTGGTGGTGTACATGCCCACCTGGTGGCCTGAGCCTACTAACGGGCTACCCATATCGTATAGTACCCTACACCTGATGGTTGGAGACCCGGTACCCATACAACTGTGTACGGGAGTCAGCGGGTCTCCACCACCATCACCCGGTGCCTAATGCATTCCGGGGGTTGAGCTCTGCCTCTCAACTGTCAAACTGGTGTACAGATTCCTGACACTGGGCTCTATCATATCTACAAAAGTTCAGCCTTTCTAACGTAACTACTCTGTGGCTGGCCCATTTGGGTACTCAGTTTCCACCTGTGTCCCCTTGTTCGCGTACCACCAGTGTTAAACAGTTTATCCTTGTCTACCCTGTCAATTCCCCTGAGGATTTTGTAGGTAGTAATCATGTCCACCCTTACTCTTCTGTCTTCCAGTGTCGTGAGGTGCATTTCCAGCAGCCTTTCCTCGTAACTCATGCCTCTTAGTTCTGGAACTAGTCTAGTGGCATACCTCTGAACCTTTTCCAGCTTCGTTTTGTGCTTGACAAATTACGTGATCCATGCTGGGGCCGCATACTCCAGGATTGGTCTTACATATGTGGTATACAAGATTCGGAATGATTCCTTACACAGGTTCCTGAAGGCTGTTCTGATGTTAGCCAGCCTCACGTATGCCGCAAATGTTATTATTTTTATGTGAGCTTTAGGAGACAGGTTTGGTATGACATCAATTCCTAGATCTTTCTCTCTCTCTGTTTCATGAAGTACTTCATCTCCTATTCTGTATCCTGTGTCTGGCCTCCTGTTTCCACCGCCTAGTTTCATTACTTTGCATTTACTCGGGTTGAACTTTAGCAGCCATTTGTTGAATCATTTATTCAGTCTAGGTCATATTGTAGCCTCCAACTGTCATCCTCTGTTTCAATCCTCTTCATAATTTTTGCATCATCAGCAAACAGAAAGAGAAACGAGTCTATACCCTTTGGATGATCATTTACATATATCAGAAACACTATAGGTCCAAGGACTGACCCCAGCGGGACTCCACTTGTGACGTCTCGCCAATCTGAGACCTCACCCCTCACAGTGACTCGCTGTCTTCTGTTGCTTAGGTACTCCCTTATCCAATGGAGTACCTTCCCTTTTACTCCAGCCTGCATCTCTAGCTTTTTCACCATCTTCTTGTGTGGTACTGTGTCAAAGGTTTTCTGGCAATCCAAAAATATGCAGTCTGCCCACCCCTCTCTTTCTTGCCTGATTTTTGTTGCCTGGTCGTAGAATTCAATTAACCCTGTGAGGCAGGATTTGCCATCCCTGAACCCATGTTGATGCTGTGTTACAAAGTTCTTTCACCCCAAATGTTCCACTAGCTTTTTTCTCACAATCTTCTCCATCAGCTTGCATGGTATGCAAGTTAGGGACACTGGCCTATAGTTCAGCGCCTCCTGTCTATCCCCTTTCTTGTGTATCGGGAATACATTAGTCACTTTCCAAATTCCTGGCAGTTCCCCCTGTTACCAGTGATTAATTATACACTATGGAGAGTGGCAGGCACAGTGCTTCTGCTCCTTCCTTTAGTATCCAAGGGGAGATTCCATCTGGGCCTATAGCCTTTATCACATCCAACTCCAGTAAAAGCTTCCTTACCTCCCCACTGGTAATCTCAAACTCTTCTAGTGGTTCCTGGTTAACTATTCCCTCTCTTATCTCTGGAATTTCACCTTGCTCCAGAGTAAAGACCTGGAATTTCTTATTCACTTCCTCTCACACTTCCTTGTCGTTTGTAGTGAATCTGTCTGTCCCCATCCTTAATTTCATTACCTGTTCCATTACTGTTGTTTTTCTCTTGATGTGGCTGTACAATCAACCTGACATATTCATTCCTGGCACTCTGGTATTTTTCTCTGCTTTCAAGTGTCCTGTTATTTCTATAGTTTCTCCATGCTTTTATATTTGCTGTTTAGCTAGTCTACATCTCTGATTAAACCAAGGGTTTCTCATCTTCATTTCATTGTTTTCCTTTTGGACTGGCACAAACTTGTTTGCTGCTTCCATGCACTTCTGAGTGATGAAGTCCATCATTTCTTGGGCCGTCTTTCCCCTGAGCTCTGTTTCCCCATGTTAAATCTGTTAGGAAGATTCTTATCTCCTCATAGTTTCCTTTTCGGAATACCAGCTTTTTGTTTTCAGTGCCCCTCCTTGAGTTTAATAACCCTTCCTCAACCAGTTAACTGCAATGTTGTTGTTGTCATACTCTTGCCTGAGTCTTCTGTCATTTGTGGAGGGATATATATCACTGCTACTACTACTTTTGGTCCTCCTTTTGTCATGGTGCCTGTTATATAGTCACTGAATCCCTCACATCCCGGGATAACCATCTCCTTGAAACTCCATTCCTTTCTCATTAGTTGGGGCCACTCCACCTCCTCCCCTTCCTTCCCTCTCTTTCCTTATTACAGTGTAGTACTGGGGAAACACCGCATTCATTATGATTCCTGAGAGTTTTATTTCAGTGAGTCCGATTACATCTGGGTTCACTTCTTGTGCTCTTTCCCTTAGTTCACTTGCCTTGCTTGTGATCCCATCTATATTCGAGTACATCACCCTGAAACTAACTCTCTTCTGTCCTTTCTCAGATCCTATTGCTTCTCCTGAAGCAGTAAAACAGGGAGGGACCGAGATGGGAGGACCTATGAAGGAGGACCTGGGGGATCTGGGGTGTTTGAAGGGCTAGGAGGATCTGATACAGGGAGGGTGGTGTAGGAGGGAGGGAATGGGGGGGGGAATGGAGAAAAGAAGGCTTGGGAGTTGGGGAGGCAGAGGAGGCTTCGGGGGGGGGGGGGTTGAGTGGAGGAGGCTTTGGGGGGGGGTGAGTGAGGGAGGCTTGAGGGTGAGAGGGGGAGGCTTTGGGGAGTGTGGGAGGAGAGGAGGCTTAGGGTGGGGTATGGGAAGAGGGAGGGGCTCGGGGGGGATAGGGAGAATGAGGGGGCTTGGGGGCAAAAT